GGTGGACGGTTGTGGTGGTGAAGAGAAGTAGAAAAAAAGGAGAAGATGTTAGAAGATGTTAGAAGACACTGGTTAATGTCTTCTCCAAGAAGATGCCAGGAAGACCTTTTTGAGTGAAATGTCTTCCAAAAAACAAACAATCTGCAGAGCCCATCATCTGCGCGCGTCTGCGCGGCGCAGACAAAAGATGCCAGAAGGTCTTCTGGCAGAAAAACGAACACCCCCTAAATAATGATCATGTTCAGCTCTTTTTCTCTAACTTTGTGTTTTTGATTTGCTTTCTTTACTTGATTTTGACAGGGACCAGCAGAAAAGGAAGCACCAGCACCTGCTCCATCTTCCCAAACCCAATCAGCCCCACAGTGAGTTTCCTTGGAGAGTAGTGGTTTTTTTCATTTGCTTTGATTGATTGTCTACTCACCGCTCATGAGTCTTTTTGTTAATATCTTTGTAGGGTATCTAAGAAATCAAAGAAGTGAAACCGTAGTCCTTCTCCTGCAATTCCAAGGGGATTACATTATGTTTGGTGATCCTTTGTTGTCATTTTTTGTTTTATTTACAAGTAGAAGAGTACTATTGAGTTCAAGACAATGATGAGTTCATAAGCATTGTTATTATGATTTCTTTTGTAGTGTTTTTTGTTTACTCTATTCTAACTATGCTCCCTTATGGAAAGAAAAAGGCCAACTTAATCTAAATTTGAATTCAATCGACTAATCTAAATATATACCCGTTGGCATTCATAAAACGGTTAATTAATGAATATTTATTCATCAAACATGAAGTTGTATAAATTTTCAAACCCTCTCTGAAGAGTCAATAATGTCCTTGACGGCTTTCATACCCTATCGAGTTAATATTTTTATTCATCCAACATGAAGATGTATGTAGTTAACTGGCTTGAAGATTAATGTTTTCGTTTGTTTGTGATAAAAGTATTACTCCCTCCGTCTCAAATTATATTGCCTGTTTACTATTTACATGGTCAAACTCTATTCACTTTTTTTCTCTATTTTCGTTAGCAATTTGATAAAATAAAATAGTGTTGTCACTACTAGTTTTGTAGATCTTTTGATGCAGTATTTTGATATGTAATTTTTATTTTTTAACTCTATACCATTTGTCATATAAAATGATTTGAAAATAATTTCAATCAAACATCGTACGTAAACCGAAACAGGCGTTATAAAATGGGACGGAGGGTGTAACTCGGTAGAGTATGAAAACCGTCAAGGGAGTACATTATTGGAAAATCCTCCACTAGTAACTATAAGTTCAATAAGATATTATGACATACACTTAATTAAAGTTCTAATGATGCTTTGTTCAGAATTTAATGATTCCATTCTTATTGTCATTTTGAAAAATTAATAGTTATAACTTAATTTTATCAAACAATCAATGAAAATGATCCACAAACAATCAAGCTTAAGACTTAAATGGGGGGAGTGTTAAATGTTGAGAATAAAATGTTATTTTTATTCTGACATTGCCGGACAATGTAATAATAAAATGGGGGGAGTGTTAATTTTTATTAGAATATTTTTATTCTAACACCATACCAAAGACTTAAATGGTAAAGCATTTTGTTTTAGATCTCTTAGCAAAATTGTTGTTTTTTTGGGAAAGGAGACTAATAGTGAGGTTGAAATCAAAAGAAAAAGAGTGCTTCTTTGGTGCTTACCATTTCTGTAGACCTTACATAAAAATTCTTTTTTTATTTTTTATTAAAAGACATCCATACTTTATTTTTTCCGGCAGTATGACAATTACAAATAGCAATTGTGAAGTTAAAATGGTAAGTGACCGAAATTATAGTAATAATTATTATAATTATTATATTTATAATAATTAAAGAAAGGTAAGTTAAAATGGCGGAAAGGTAAGTTAATTATTGGTAAGTTAAAATGGCGGAAAGTAAATATTTTCTTATTTTAAATAACTAAATGCATTTCGAAAAGAATGAAAATTATATTAAGCAAATATAATCTTTAAATAAAGTATATGCATGCAAATATATTTTTAAAGTTGCTAATACAAAAATGTTTATTATTTATTTATTTTTGATAAAGATCTATATTAATTTAACCTTTTTTTGTGTAGGAGTGTTCGGTTAAATTGTACGTTATGGGAAAATCATGTGAATGTTTTGATTATGGTTTGAATGCAATGGGTTCGACCATTACAATTCTGATGTTGCAAATGGTGAAACCTAAACTATACAATGGTATTCTTATAAATTAATTCAAATTATTTTTGAAATTCATGTACCCAAAGAATTAATTCCAATTGTTTCTGATATGCAATGAAGACAATATTCTCACAAATTGTACAACTAATGTAGTCTATATAGAACTCTTTCGAAATTTGTAAAGTAATGATATTTTTTACCTTAAAATAATATAATCTCTATATTTTATTGCATCTCATTTTTATTATTGAAAAATGATTTGAATTTAATAACATAAAAATGACTTGTGCAATGCACAGGTGTGATACTAGTCTTTATTTAAGTAATAAAAAAATATTTATTTTGCTCATATTTAAGTTATTTGGTGCCTTTATAAAATTTGCAAAGAAAAAATTACTGGACACTTGTTCTGTTCCAAAACAAAACGATATTTATGAACATTACAAATAATTTAAATGCTCGATTACAAAATCCAAAAACCCAAACAAATACCTAAAAATAATGGCAACTAATTAAACAAAACCGTGGACTGGAACTGAAGTCAATTTGGGACCTTCTTTTTCTTCTTGGAGACGAAATCCCTGGGATCCATACGAACTTCAGAAAGCATTTGTTCCCAGAGAGACTCAAACTGCTCATGAAACCCTTCCTGAAACCAATCCATTATTTCCCCAAACAGTTCCTTCGGGTTCGTCTCCCACACTTTCTTCAGCGCGACACGACTGTCGATTCGACCCGCCCTGCTGCTCTTCATTCTACTCAAGAGATTCCCCACCCGTTTAATGCCCGAAGCTTCCGGTCTCAAAATGGTACCCGGTGGGGCCGCCATGAACTTCCTCGCAGGTTTCAAGCACGGCAAGACTTTACCTTCAAGCAATGCACATGCAAAGACCGTTACCCGTTCCGCTTTACCTTCAAGGGGCCGAGAATGGAGCGGGAGCTCCCACAAGTGGGTCCCAAAAGTAGGCTTGACCCAACAGAGGACCTCGTCGATCAAACGGTTGTAAAACGGTTTTGGGTCGGATAGCGGGGCAGAAAATTGGCACATGGACTGACCGTATTTGACAAGCCAGCTTGCTTCCACGCGCGTTGCCCCGTGGATGTACGGCCTCTTTGAATGCATGAGTTCACTGTAGACTAGGAACTCGGGTGCCGACTTTGAAACGGCCGACCGACGGTGGAGGAATACGGTTTCGGTTACCATGCAAGCCTGGTAACGGACCGAAGTCGCTTTCATATCTTCTTGGGACAGACCTGAAACTCGTTTGATTCGTCGGGCAACCCGGTCAGGCCAGCCTGCAAAGATAGCTTGCCCCAGTATCTCCTCTTCATTCAGTTGGAGAGACTTGTGATTGCCAGAGCAATCCTTCCAAGAAGCTTCTACGTCCTCAATTGTTCCATGACCCCATGAGAAATCCTGCGGCCCTTCACCGTTTGGGTCCATTTGACATCCAGATACTAAAAAAAAGAATATTTGAGGGAATTAAAAAAAGAATTGAGGGAAAATAAATTACTCTAAAACTACATGAATTTGTTTCAGAGCCCGTTGGTAGCCTCATTCGGTGTTATTACTGTTGTGCTACAGTCACACACTACAGATCACGCCAAGAGTGACACCGCATGATTATCCCACACACAATGAATGCGTGTGAGATTATTTCTGGTGGTGTCGTCCTTGGAGTTAAAGTAGCATTAGTGTAAGAACAAACAACTTTTGACTTACTTATATGGCTAAAAGTAGTTTAACCCATGCTTTTAATTCCATACTTCAACCATATTTCAGCCAAGTAATCATTTCAAATTGGGCTCTTAGTATATAAGATTATTTGATTTTGAAAAAAAAAGTATTCATATTTTTCAAGCAAATTATATGGTGCGTGCTAGCATGCTCATTATGAAGCACGCTGTTAAACATATGCACATTTCACAACCCTTTCCATTTCAAAGGTAAAACCAAACTAAATTAAATAAACTCTCATTAGCCATCCCCCCCCCTCCCCAAATCTTATCATTTTCGTTGATAGGAACATACCTTTTGAGTTGAACACGAGGTGAAGAAGTTGCTTCCTCAGTTTTGACATCTCCTCCATGGTCTTTAGGTGCAATCCATTTTCACTACAGAATGCCACAGGATTTGTAGCCAGTTCAAAACACCGCAAAGCATTAGCTGTGGTCAATGCATCACTAGTGGGGTTCAAGAATTTCGCCCGGGCGACTCTAACAGTCTCTTTCATCTTCTTTTTCCTCAACCTTTCTTCCTTCTCGTCGGTTCTCTCCCGAACTAGTGAGTGCCCAACAAGTTTAACGTGCTACTTTCCCAAACTGTTCGAGTTACGTCGTTGGCGACGTTGACGTATTCGGTTGTGACACAAACTGGCAAATATTAGAAACTGGAAAACGTAGCAGACTTATTGACACTCCTCGTACGCCCTCACTGCACCTGAGTAACCCTTGGCACGGTACCGGAATGGTTATCCCGTCAGCCACCCGTTGACATCAAGTGCTTGTAGAACTTTTAAGCACCGTTCTGCTTCAGTCAAGGCAGTTGCTTCAGGAGGAGTTGGGAAAGGGAATTTAGTAACCTGAAATTATAGTGAGATGAATTGGCCATTAGTCTTGGAAAAATATGTAAGAACAACAGACACAGTAAAATCCAACAAAAGGTAGGGTCTGTGGAGGGTGGGTGTACATATACCTTACCCCTACTAGGTATTAGAGATGTGCTTCCAATACACCCCGGCTCAAGTACAAAAAGTAACGAAAAAGAAACCAGTGGCACGAAAAACAGAATGGAAAAATGTGTAAAAATGTTGCATTTGATACTTGTACAATTTTTTTTAATCCGCATGTGTGTCAAATTAAAAATAATGTGGAGTAGTTTAAATTAAATTTCTGAGAATACTTTCTAGAAACGTCCTCAGAATTCGGAGAGTGAGAAATAACACTTCCACTTCCCTCCCCTTTTCTCCAACAAAATACACAAAACTCCAATTTTTTCCCATTATCCTCCAACCAAACAAAAGAAGCAAGCATGGTCTCGTGGAACTAAGTAATCCATGTGAAAGGACTAAACAAAGAACACCAAAAATTACAGGGATGGATAACAAATTTATAGAGGAACCTAAAAATACTCTGTTCTACAATAACAAGCACTGCATTTGCAAGAACAAATACAAATCAAGCCTAAAAAAATAAATTGACCATTCTCCCCACAAAGTTAGGCTACTAAAAAATGATTACTTATTTTTATTATTCCCCCTTTTGTGAATGACTTTAAAGAATAATGCCGCTTTTCCCTCATGACATTGATCAAACTAAATGTGAGTCGTGTGACATTATATTCTCCACTCAAACAATTTTTAAGGAAAAAAACTTGCAAGTGCGCAACTTGAAGTGTGGGTTATTTTTGCAAATAATCTGAAACCAACATACATATATATTTTATATAATCAAAAAAATATTCAGGGTGAAAACAAAAATGCAATAGTAAACTTGCCTTGTCAATGTGCATGGACTTCATGAGGAGCACAACGCCATCAACGGGCACTTTCAATATTTCAGCATCTGAGAATGGAGCGAAAATGTCATTGAAGACCGCTGAAGAATAAAGGCGATAGCAATGACCGGGTCCAGTCCTTCCTGCCCTACCAGCTCTTTGGGAAGCCGAGGCCTTACTTATCCACTGCACTTCAAACATTTCCATCCCATTTGACAAGTTGTACTTTTTCACCTTTTCTCTACCTGTGTCAACCACATACTTTATGCCAGGAATTGTCAAAGATGTCTCAGCTACATTGGTAGCAACAACGACAAGCCGCTCACCTTCCTTAACCTCTTCAAACACACGAAGTTGAGCAGATGCAGGAAGCATTGCATATAGTGGTAAAACACACATGGGCCCCACACATGGAGGAACGCTCCGTGTATTTGATTCACTCGCAGTGTTTGATACTAAGGCTTTCTTTGCAGACAAAGCATCAAAAGCAGCCTTTAGTGAATCAAGGATTCCATCAGACTCCAACGGATTCTGATTTAGCTGATCATCGAAATCAGAAGAATATTCCAGATCACTATCATCCTCTGAATCATAGGAACAGTCTGATTCATCTGCGCAGGCATCCGGATAATCCTCATTATAGGAATTAAACCGTTCAGTTATTTCAAGATTTGAGCTTTTGTTTACCTCAAATGCCTTGCTTATCTCCTCCATATCATTTTCTTCACCAGGTCTCAGTATAGGCAGTGACTCATTTTCTAGATTGCCATTTTTCTTAATTATATCCTTAGAAGCTTGGCGTAGCTTACGGCACAAGAACTCCACCTCTCTCTGTCCAGTTACAAAGACAAGTATGCCCCCGGCAGGAAGTCTCTTGTGGATAGACAACACTTTCTTATAAGCTTGGCCAACATAATCTACAATTTCAGTTCTCTTGGAGAAGTGTGTAGTGACTGGATACTGACGAGTCGGGACTTCTATTACAGGTGGGGGATCATGAAAAACTCTTCCACTGGCAACAAAATCCTCAACACGAAGCGTGGCACTCATCAGCACAAGTTTCAACGGATATATTTTTTCTTCACTACTTATAATATGTCCTGATAGTACCCTCTTCTGCTGCTCCTCAAATTCATGCTGCCATATAATAGGAAGTGGGAGGTTGGGGATCTGTGTGTGAATTGATAGAAAAACAAATGATAATAAAAAATAAAATGGAGTTACCTGGCGCAATCTTATCACACGAGAAAGCATCCCAACAAGTATATCTGTGTTTAAGCTCCTCTCATGAGCTTCATCCAAGATTATGACTGAGTAACGCCTTAATAGAAAATCATTCTGCAAAAAGAATACCATGTTAATAGAGATGGTAGAAAGAACACACACACACACAAGGATTGGGTTATATGTGTAGCCTTTGTTTAGCCTGGGAAGAACTAAGGAGGAGAGCAATATAGAGATAGTTCGGAGTGACGTAGGAGAGAAATAGGTTGAAAAAGAACAAAGGTGGGACCCAACAATTCAAACATTTACATATTTTCAGAATTTCTCGTCACTGTTTCTCTTCTCAACAAAACACAAAATTCTCTACTTTTATCTGATTTATCTGCTGTTTCACCATAACAAAACAAAGACACAAAGGAATTAAAGAGAGGAGTGATTCTTTCCCTTTTGAATAACAAGCATAGCTAATAGACCTGTACCAGCTGTACTATTGACTGACCTGCACTTCTCGAAGTAAAATTCCATCCGTCATGAACTTGATTGAGCAATTATTCCCAACCTTCCTGTCGTGCCTAACTTGAAAGCCAACTTCTTTTCCTAGATGGAAACCAAGCTCAAATGCCACCCGTTTGGCAGTTGCAAGTACAGCAACTCGGCGGGGCTGGGTTACACCAATAATTCCACCTCTTCCAGCATGCAATCCAAATCCAGCTTCGTAAAGAAACTGAAAAGGAAAAATAATCACAATTATTATTACCAAAAGTAAAGGTAAATAAGAGAGGAGCATATAATATACTTCATGGAAAAGAGAGCTAAAGCATTTATCACCTGTGGAACTTGGGTAGTCTTGCCACAACCAGTCTCACCGCATATAATTACACAAGTATTCTCATTTATGGCTTCCATTATCTCCTGCTCCATCATGACTATTGGAAGGTCTTTCCTTTTTTCTTCAACCTCCTTTGGTCTAGTAACATGCACAACAGTCGGGGCAAGTAAAGACCTTTGGGGTGGACAGGCAGTGAGGTCAGCATTTTGTTTTATATCAATTCCAGGCTGACCAATTCATTCATTTAAACAAAACTCAGCTGATAGCAAACAACTAAACCTTATAAGAACAAGTTTATGAAAAAATTAGTATCACCTAACATCTTTTCCCTAAATGGATAATTATTTGAGAAAGAATGAAGTACATATAAATATAATGTACTCTCTTTACCCGCAAATTAAATTGACACTGACACTTCTTATCAAGAATAAAATGTGAGGCTCTTAACAACTCTCTCTCTCTCTCTCTCTTCCAAACAAATTTCAACCACACTCTTTTTTGACTTTTCAACACATTTTCTTAAACATAGCGAAGTCAAACCACAAATTCAGTTTGGGGACGGAAGGAGATAAAGATGTACCTTTAATCTTTTCGTTTCATCATCACTATAACTTGGGGTGGGCATTGGGCTTTGCAAATCTTCAGCCCTTAAAAGATCAGTCTTTTCATTTGCCACATCTCTAACTACTGTGGCAGAATCTCCATCAAAAGCACGAGGTTTGCAAGTTTCTAGACCAGATGCCTCAGATAGGGTATCTATTTTGGTTACTGGTGGCTGCAACATATAGTCAGTAACAACTGGAATATGTGATTTAGTTTCATCAAATTCTTGTTCAATATCACACGATATGCTACTAGCAGAATTCTTGTTCTTCTTCAATGGAGGATCACCGCCTGGCACTACTAAACCTGCTTTAGAATATTGAACTTCTCTTCTCCTCTTATCCCGGGTAGTCTCAACCTAGCAAAACAGAAAAGAGGAGGACAACAAATCAAGCTACACTTAACATTATAGTTTAGGTATCATGAAGGTAATTCAAGGTAACAATTACCAACCTGACCCAAGTTCCTAGAAGAGCTCAAAAGTGAATAAGAATCATTATCAATTTTGTACTTCCTGCAATGTAAATCAAACAAAGCACGTGTTTCCCTGGTTACATGAAGCCATACCTAGGGATACGATTACAAGAACTTTTTAAAGAAAAGAACGAAAGAAAAAAATTCTTACGCCAAGGTCTCCAAGCTTTTAGACAAAAGGGCAGCTTTTTCCTTGTCTTCCTGTATATGAAACATGTAACTGATTAATTGACGTCACAATAAATTTGACAAAAAGTAATAATAATAATAATAATAATAATAATAATAATAATAATAATAATAATAATAATAATAATAATCCCTCTGTCCCCCATAGATCTTCCCAATAGCCCTTTTTCTTTGTCCACAATAGATCTTCTCATTTCATTTTTTAACAATTAAAATACCACAACTACCCCCACTTACTTTATTTATTACACCTCACCCACCTCATTTAATACACTTCACCCATTTTCATTAAGGGTATTATGGTAAACTTTCACATTTTTTCAACTCTCCTTAAAAACCACCAAAAGTCAAAATGAGAACATCTTAGGGGGGGCGGAGGGAGTAATAAGTATTATTATTATTATTATTATTATTATTATTATTATTATTATTATTATTATTATTATTATTATTATTATTATTATTATTATTATTATTATAATACTCCGTAGTACAATACTGAGCAAACAAATCAGAAGATTTCAAAATCTGTGCTTTATTCCAAACAAAACAAAAAAGATGGAATAAGAACCTTGAGCCTAGCCAGTTTCTTCTTTTGGGATTTCAATAACTTGGAGTTGGAATTGGTCTTTGCCTTGCGATTTTTCTTCATCTGACAAAACCATTGAACCAAACAAGATGCATCTTATCAAATGTGATATTTTAAAGCTTCTTCTTTGGCATGTTGAGGACATGAAAGGTTTGAACTTACTGATAGCTTGACAGATGAAAGACGATAAGAAAAGAATCAAATGGATCACAATTAGTTGGCTTCTAGCCTCCAATTTTGGCCTTGGCTGCAGTTCAGGGAGCAGTGCTGCTGGAGTTTACCAAGCCGGTGGACTGTTAGGAGACACAAAAATGTAATTTCGCAAAAGGAGGGATTAATATTACAATTCATTCACCATTAATGCAATAGTTGAACAAAATAGGCATACCCTAAGAGCACTTCTTCTGCAAATTTAATTTAATTTCCTCCTCATCAATACAATGAACAAATGGGAAGGAGAGCAAAGAAGGATTTCAACAACATTAGGTTTTTCAAATACAGAGCATCTCCAAGGGAGAAAGTAAAACCGGACCGGAACCTGAATCATATATTTGTAAGGATCTAAGACCAGACCAGTTGGTGGCCAGTCCGCACCGGTCCGGTCTGAGTTTACCCTATTATGAACCTCATATTTTTATACACTGTTTTTTATATCAATCTCAATTGGACACTTAAATACACACTGGCTGCTTCAATTTTGAACTGGACATCTAAAATGAAGAAATACAATTATGTTCCGTTTGGTACACCGAATTCAAACTGTGAAATTGGATTTGGAGCAGTGTTGTCAATCGCCGCCTAGGCGAGGACCCCACTAGTCCGGGCTACTAAGGCGTCGCCTAGTCTTGTTTTAGCAGCGACTGGTCAGAGAAGAAGGTGCAATTTGTCCCAACCCGACCCAAATTTTGAATAAATATTAAGTATTACCGTATCAATTGTCGACATTCCCAAATCCAATGGCGACAGATCTATTAGCGTAAACCACAATTAGCCGACTTCAAGCTTCCCAGTAGCATCTATTCAAGGTTTCAAGCCAATCGGCGATCAATTTTTCATCTTCCTCGCCTCTATCTCTCTCTATCGGGTAAGATTTTTTTTAATTATATATTACTTGGTCTCTTAATTTAGTTTAATTTTCTTTAATTCGGTTCATTAAACTATTAAAGTAATAAAAGTATGTTATACTCTTTATTTTTAAATTTTCTTCAGTTTTTTTAATTTTTATTTTTTTTTCTGATTCCAATTAACTTTTTTTTTTTCTAATTTCAGTTAACATTTTTTTTGTTATTTTAGTATTTTGAATTAGGAAGTTAATTTAATTATTGTCTCTTATTAAATAATTTTATACGGAGTATTTATTTAAGAACAAATGGGAGATAATAATGTTTGTGACTATGACGGTTCTTCCAACGACCCCATACGCTTATGTACCTTTCTTTATGTGACTTTATCTTTAAATAAAATTTTGTTTTGGTAATAATATTTTGTCATATAAATATATATAATTATTTTTGGGTGAATGAAGGTATATATAATGTCAAAGATTTCAATAATAATTGTGATTTGTCGACTAGTCTACGACTAGTCCACTAGTCTTCCTATCAATATACATGTTAAGATTAAATATTATCCTTAATAATAAGGATATACATTGGGAAGACATATTATACGGAGAATTAACAATAATAATAATAATAATAATTATAATAATTATAATAATAGTAATAATAGATATTATTATTAATAAATACAAAATGTTAATCGGGGTACATTGGAAAAACCTACATTCAAGAATCTAAAACCCTATAATAACAAATTTGAATTCCTCAATGAAAATTTTAAGTAAAAATAGAAAATGAAATTTGGGATACCTCTAAAACATGCCAGTAGCTTCCGACTTGTTGCTGACTTGCTGTCGCCGACGCCGGACGTTGAGGCAGTATGCGGATGCTGTCACCTAGGTCACCGTTGGTTCCTACTCCCCTGCTGGCCGCTATGTGCTGGTTGCTGATGGGCGATGGCAAAAGTTTTGTGCTCAGGGAGGAGACGCGCAGCGGCGTAGAGCATGGCTGGAAGTAGCAATGCCAGATGACGCAAATTTATCCTACAACCGGCTGTACGGTTTCGCGTACAGCCGGCGGAAATTAGAAGAGATCCGATCGGATTGAGAGCAGAGAACCGAATTCAGCTTCTGGTCCGCGAAGCATCACTGTCCGGCAAGGGCTCTCCATTCGCCGTCAGCCGTGTGTCCAGGTGCTCTGTTTGATTCCCTTGCTGCTAGTCCTATTCTTAGGCTCTTCAAGAATATCAAAGAGGAAGAGCAGATAACCCACCTTTGAGTTTAACTGTAGACTGATTGACACTCCTATTTTCACTTCTTCTGTATATGGTAAACATACTAAAGATGATAGGCAGGGACATGCTGAATCATTGCCCTACTGCTTAAAAAAATGGATTATTGGAGGGGATTTGAATGCCATAACTTCTCCGTTGCAACACAAAGTTAGAAGTTCTCCATATACTGAAAGCATGGAAGAGAGTTTACTGAATGTATTGATCAATGTAAACTCATTTGCCCTGCTCCTAAGGGGGGTGTGTCTTTACTTGGTCTGGAACTAGATCTCAAGGAAAAGTTTGGAGAAGACTGGATAGGGTGTTGGTTAGTCTTGAGATTTTGGCTGCTTACAGTGAGGTGGAAGTCACACATCTTAATAAAGCCTCTTTGGATCACATGCCTAACCAATTTCACTGTCAAAATATCAGCAGTAGCGGTCCTAAGTCTTTCTGAATTTTTTAAACACGTGGACTCATGATGATAAGTTTCTGGACACAGTTAAAAACTACTGGTCATCTTTTCAAACTGTTGGAGGTATGAAAAGGTCTTGCTGCTAAACTCAAAGGCCTAAAAGCTGTTTTAAAAACTTGGAACATCACAGTTTTTGATAGTATCTTTGTCACCCTTAAAGAAGGTGAGGATGCTGCAGCTAAGGCTCAAGAAGCATATGAAAACAGTCCTTCTGATGATCTCAAGGAATTGGCTAATAAAGCTAATGCAACTCTTTTTTTGGCAATTAATAAAGAAACAACTTATTGGAAGCAGAAGGCCAATCTTAAAAGGATGGATAAAGGGGATACTAGTTCTAATTTGTTCCATGCATATGCCAAAGGTAGAAGGACAAAAATGGCAGAAATCTGACTTTGGAGGGAGGCATATAAAAGGAAGCTATTGGTCATTTTTAAAAGGTGTTCTAGGAAAAAAACAATCCTGTTCTTCAGCCTACTCTTGATTTTATCCCAGAGGTAGTTAAAAAGGATGAAAATGAAATAATTGAAGCTTTTCTTCTATGGAAGAGGTCAAGAAAGTTGTCTGGGATTTGGATCAGAACAGTGCAATTGTGCAAGTGGACCTGATGGTTTGAATGGAGTCTTCTTCAGAACATGGGTCATCATCTGTCAAGATGTCTACAAAGCCTCACTGGAATTTTTTTGTTGGAATCCCATTTTCAAGAGCTAATGGTAGTACTCTTCTTACTCTTATCCCTAAGAATGAGGACGCTAAGCACTTTAGAGAGTTTAGACGTATTTCATAATCTAATTTTATGAGTAAGATAAATAACACCAAAATTCTTGCTACCAAGACTTTGTTCTATTCTTTGCAAATCTGACAAATGGTCCAAGTCTTAAAAACTGGTATAATATCATATTTAGTAACTATGTTGTGTTTCTCTTCGGGGTGTTGATGCACACATTTTAAGCATGTCGGGGGTAAAAATAGTAGTGATGTCCATATTTTCTGCTATTGCAATGGCATTGGCAAGCATTGAAAGTGGTTTCTTTTTCTTTCTTTAGTTGCACTCTAGTATCATACTATTTTTCTTATGACAAATTTCGTTAATCATAATGTTTCCTTTATCGAAGGCATTATTTGCAATAATTGAGACGGGTTTGGAATCTTTCCAGAGACTCATATCTCCAGGTCTGATGTGTTGATTAAGGGATATTTTTTGGAATTTTTCATTAGAGGGACATTAAACAGGGCTCTTGTCGAGCTTCCTAGAGGATCAAGTCATTCGTAGTTCGAAAGGGATCTAGAGATGAGAAATTGAAAAGAGAAGCTTGCTGCTGATCCCATTCGCGCATGTTCTCGCATCGCTTTTTTTGTAGAAAGCTCGACCAGCGAGAAAAAGTGTTTGGCCGAATGGTTTTCTTATTTATAGTATTCTAGTATTTGTTTGTTTGCTGGCACAGGTAGTCTAGTCATTATCAGTAGCAGATGTAGAATCTGAAAGCGCGGGAACAACAAAAACCACCATCTCGCTCTTTCCTTTCTTCGGTGCTACCTTTTTTTTTCCAAGGGATGGGGTTGTAACCAGCTGAGCTACCTGAACAAAGGATATTTTTTGGATTTAACTCCGATTGTGAAAAGTGTGAAAATTGAAGTGCCAATACCCTAATTGTCCGAGTCCAAGGCCGGCGGTTAAGACGAACAGTGCAAAACACAAGCAATGAATACTTTTGATCCAAGACGAAGTTCACAGTCACATAGGCATCTAACACAATCTCTATGTCAGCAATTTATCACCACGGGTAGAGGTCGACACCTCAATCTATTGTTATTTTAATGTCACGGTTATTTTACCTAGAGTTTTTATTTATATAATTTTTCCCTCTTATTTCTTGAATATTAGGTGAATGAAGAAGTTCTGAGGAATAATTTTAAGAGATTTGACCTCTTGCAAGGGTCCAAAAAGCACTTGACAAAAAATACGATTTCATTCATTTTGAATATGGAGTTGATGCTCAGAATGTCATACATGGAATGAGTGGTAAAGATTTGAGATGTATAATTTATAAGAAATGTTTGAAATTTTTGGATGCTTATAGGATGATGGAATGTAATGTAATGTTATCTTGCAGGGGTGCTTTTGGATGGGGGGAAATTGAACCTACCAATAAGTGTCAATTAGCGAAAATATAGAATTGTTTTTAATGTAAGTCAAATCTAATGTTATGTATGCTTTTATCCTATTTATGAATGTTCTAACAAAAGAAACAATTACTTTTCTATAGTATGTTAGAAGCTATTGACATCTGAAAGTGGTTGAAAACCAGAACTTTAGAAAATTTGATGATACAATATTTGCAAGTGAATGGCCAGTGCATGTGCATGGTCTCTGGCTTGTGTCACATACCGCTGGTTATGTATATGCTCCTTTACAAGTAGAATGTCAAGAGCCAAGTGTTTTAAAGGCATGGAAATCACTTGGCAGTGGCCAAAACTCGTAGTTGGAAAAACATGGATGCCAGCAAGATCTACCCTTGGATGAACATTTTACACTTGGCACACGACTTTTCTAAAATTCAGCCGGTAAAAAAACATGTCTTAAGAGCACTTGGCAGCATCCATGTTTTTCCTACTGCGAGTTCCAGTGCTGATTATGTGACCCACTGCCAAATGATTTTCATGCCTTTAGAACATTTGGCTCTTGACATTCCACTTGTAAAAAAACATGTACATAACCAGCAGTGTGTGACACAAGCAAGAGACCATACACTAGCCATTCACTTGCCAATGTTGTGTCATTGATTTTTCTAAAGTTGAGGTTTTCAACCACTTTCAAATGCCAATAGCTTCTCGCATACTATAGTAAAGTAATTGTTTATTTTGTTAAAACATTCATAAATAGGATAAAAGCATGCATAATATTAAATTTGACTTACACTAAAAACAATTTTATATTTTTGGCGAATTGACATTTTGTTGGTAGGTTGATTTTTTGCTCATACAAAAACACCTCTGCAAGATAACATTACATTCCACCATCATGTAAGCATCTAAAATTTTAAACATTCCTTATAAATTATACTGGATACATCTCAAAGATTTACCATTCATTCCATGTATGGCATTTTGAGCATCAACTCCACATTCAAAATGAATGAAACCGTAATTTTTGTCAAATGCTTTTTGGACCCTTGTAAGAAGTCCAAATCTCCTAAAATTATTCCCCAGAAATTCTTCATTCATCTAATGTAAAGAAACAAAGGGATAAAAATCATATAAAAACATTCGGGGTAAAAATCACTGTAACATTAAAAATAAAAATTGATTATGGTGTCGATCTCTACCCGTGTTGATAAATTGTTGACATAAAGAGAGTTGTTGAATGTCCATGTGACACTGACCTTCGTCTCGGATCAAAAACATTCATTGTTTGTGTTTTGCACTGATCGTCTTAGCCAGCGGCCTTGGACTCGGAAGATTATGGTATTGGCACTTCAATTTTCACACTTTTCAAAATCGGAGTTTAATCCATAAAATATCCTTGAAGTTCAATTTCCCCCTAAGATTGAATTTTAATGAAAACAAAACTTTCTTGAGCCTATGAAATCTAAAAAGTAAATAAATCATAGTTTTAACAAATATATCATAGTTTAGTCAAATGAAATTTTTGATTAACATACCAAATTAAAAAATTGATATTGATTTTTTATTTAAATAAAAATCCTTATTCATCAAATGAATGTACATTTTTGTACTGATTTTGAAATATCATCAACGATCTTCATGCCCTGGGAAAACATACTCGAACAAAGATCTTGTTCAAAAAATCCTTTGGAGCTTAACATCGGAATGGCGTTCAAAAGCCGATGTCATATATGAGTCGGTTGGTAACACCAACGTTACATGAAGGAAATCAAAAGGTAAACACTTCTAACTCTTTCTCATTTGAAGAGTTGTAAGAAGCTGTTCAAGAATTATTCGGTGAATTGAAGAAAACTTTAAAAATTGTCAAAGAGGCTAAGGCTAAAATTCATGCTTTGAAAGAGGGAAATAAATTTTTGGAAAATGATAGTTTTGACCTCAAAATTGAAATCAAAGCAATGAATGAAGCTTCTTCCTTTGACCATGGTTGTACTTGTTCTTCTTGTTTGCCTTTAAAATTAGAGAACATAGAACTTAAGGACACTATAGAAAAAGTCCAGGGCCGGTCTTGAGAATACATATGCCTGGGCCCAAAACAGAAAAAAAGCCCTAAAAATCTTATCCCTAATGATCTAACAAAGGCCCTTAAAATCTTATCCCTAATGATCGTTTTCTCTTTTTTCTTTTTTGACTTCCAGATAGTTGTTTAGGAGCCATAGCTATTGAATTATTTCTGAAATAAAATCCAAATTCATAAATTCTACTACTTAGTTACCTTAGTAAAATCAAATATGAAAAACTGAACAAGCAAGCAAATAAATAGATATATCATAAATTCATACCAATTTGTCAATTTTTCTTTTTTTAAATAGTTTTTTTATTTTTCAGTTATAATTTTTTTATAAATCATAAATTCATATCAATTCATCAATTTATCAGTTTTTAATTTTTTTCGATTTTCAATTTTTTATATATTAATATATCATAAATAACAAATTCAAATCAATTCATCCAAATCAAATAAATAACATATCGGACCATTAATTCATTCTATTTCAAAGAATGAAACTAGAAAATATTTCAAATTAAAAACTAATAATTAACCCTAGATTTTAAATCTAAAAAATGAAACAATGAAGAAAATTAAGAAATAAAAATTATAAAATTGGAAAGCTATGAATAATTGAATATGGAATACCTGTAGGGTGGAGGTCGGCGTCCGGCGGCGTCGTCTGTTGGAGGCCGCGTATTTCTTCTGCTCTTCCGCGTCTGATTCTTTTTTTTGTCTACCGGGTAGGGTAACTGAGTAAGTAAGCCAGAGTGGATTGGGACGGCCTTAAATGGGATGGATTGGGCCAGTAGGTATATAGTATACGGAGTATATTGGTATATATAATACTTTAAAACTAATAATTTTGTGCCCCTTAAAATCTTGGGCCCGGACAGAACGAACACTTTGTTCCCCTATTGGGCCGGCCCTATAAACTTAAGATAGAAGAGCCAACGAAAATAATCAAAGAGGTTAAGAAAAACATACCTACTTAAAGAAATAGTAATCCTTGGAATAATCAATTTAATTTTGGGAATAAAGAGAATAATATTAGAAAACCAAGAAATGAATACATGAATTTTAAAAGTGATAGGAATAAATTTAGACAACATAAAAAAAATTTGGCTCAACCTAGGCACATGCATAACCCGAATATGACTTGTCACTATTGCAATCGGGTAGGACACATAGCTCATGTTTGTTTCGCTAAACATAGGGACTTTTCTTACAATTATAATTATGATTTTTATTTTCCTGACCCCCAAGGACCCTAAAGTGTTTGGGTACCTAAAAATTATTTTTAGACGCATATGTAGGTGTGTTTGAAGATTATATATTTATAGTGGATGCTCCAAACATGAAACCTAATGAATTGCATCAAGTGATGTTTGGGGGAAGTGTTTTTGCTATAAAAATGGTATCAAATTCAGGGAGAACATACAACGATGTTTTGTATTAAACATCAATTTCATTGGGTATATGCAAAAGGTGAGGGGGGATCACGTTTTGAAACACGTATGGGGAATTACTGTCTTGACTTGCATATCTCCGTCTTGGTTTGTTATTATCAAAAAAGGAGAAATGGTTGGAAACGTTTTCACATTGAAGTTTTGCTAATGACAATATTTGTTTCCGTTTAGATTTTGATATTGACAAGAACAAAAAGCATAAGAAATGCATTGACATTTCTAAATATGGCGACATTAACATTTTGAAGACATTGTCTAAAGACTTAGGTTTTTTTGTAACAAGCCCATTTAATTGTTTTAACTTTTAAGTCTTTGCTCAAAACAAAATTATTTTTCATACATCAAACTAGTCCTTTCACAAATGGTATTAAGTTTCCAAAACTCCTGGTCCTTGCCCAACCAAAACCATAACCATCGGTTATCGGCGTTCAGCTATGGCGTTCGGTTTTCGGCGTTGGTTATTGGCATTGAAATTAGCCAAATGGTATTTAAGTTTTCATCTTTTATTTTTACTTTCGGACACATTTAAAGGTTTTCCAAATGATTAGTTTTCAAAAACCTTAATCTTTGATTTTCGGCATTGGTTATCAACTTTCGGTAGTTCCATCATCTCTGATGGAGCCAAAATTTCACTATTTTTTGGCTTTGGGGTGTGATGGAATAAATCAAAATGGATCTCTAAAGTCTAAACTCTGTGCTTCTTTAATTAATGAAGTAGTAGTTAGTCAAGCAATGCAACTTTCGACGTTGAGCCGGAGATCTCTTTGGAAACAGCCTCTCTACTTTCGAGTAGGGGTAAGGTCTGCGTACACACACCCTCCCCAGACCCTACTCTTGTGGGATTTAACTGGGTTGTTGTTGTTGTTGTTTGTTGTTATCAGCTTTCGGCACTCGTTATCGGTGTTGGTTTTTGGCGTTAAAATAAACTAAGTGATTTTTGCATTTTATGATTGGCTTTTACTTCTGGGAATATTTAAATAGTTTTCCAACAAAAACGTTCTAAAAACCACATTTCGTTTTTAGACTTTTGTCAAAAACCATGAAAACCGACTTTAACTTGGCTAATTGTGATTTTCACTTAAATGTTGTGTGTTTTTAAGATTTTACCCTTGGTTTCTTACTAAAATTCATTAAATAAGTGTTTCCAATACTTGGTTTTAGTTTTGGAAAAAAATTGATTTTTGACATCGATTTTTCAATGTTAGCTGCCAAATCATGGTTCTGGCGTCCAGGCCCAACATGGATGTTGGACTTTGAACATAGATGTTGAAACAATGATGTTGGACTTTGAACATCGATGTTTGAACAACGTTGTTTGAATATCCAAGTTTTGGCCAGGTTGGCTCACGTCAGTTTTTGGCAGTAGGTTTTGGGACAGCAATTTCACTAATGAACATCAATATTTTCAAATAAATGTTGGGGTATTTAAGACAAAATGTTTCCATTTTTGAAAGTCAACAACACCAACATTGATGTTTTCATGACCGTTAGCCATTTTTAAGGGAAAGTCAAAGCCAAAATAGCGATGTTCACTATATGAACATCGATGTTAGGCCTGTTTTGGAGACCAGTTTTGATTTGATTTTCACAAATCGTGCCAATCAATCCCAATCTTTTCCCAACTGTTGCACCTTGTTTTGGGTATAAAAAGGGGTCTCTTAGGTCTACTTTTCACAACCATTCCTCACACATTTCATAACTCTATTTTTTATCATTCTATAAACTTTTTACATAGTTTTTTTTAGAGCCATTTCTTGATGCAATTGCTCCGTATAAGACTAACAAGAGTTTCAATATATCATTTCAGCCCATTCTCGAATGGAAAAAGCTCACCGATTTAATCATAAAAACAAGACATTTATTCATGGGAACATCTCTCCTCCCCCCCCCCCAAAAAAAAAAAATTGCCACTTCAAGAGCAGTCCTTAAACCAGATCAATGATGGAAGAAAAGAATCTGAGTGGATAAAAAAATGGATCAATGGTTCTCTCCGAGAAAATGAGATTAGTCGACGGGCCCAATCATCTTTTCCGGAACTACAAGTTGATCAAACTCTTCCGAGCTCAGTACTCCTAAACTAAGAGCAGCTTCCTGCAGTTACAATAAAAAAAGAAAGCGTTGAGCAAGTACAAATATTGAAACTACTATCCTGCATAAAAACAAGTTCTCTGGGAAAATACTCCTGGGAAACAAGGATAATTTATTCATACAACTATGCTTTTAACACATGAAAAGACATTATATTATTCTGGAAACAAAAGTCACCTTTAGACTAGTTCCTTCCTTGTGTGCTTTTTTGGCAACTGCAGCAGCATTGTCGTACCCAATTTTCTGAATTTTAACAACATATCAAAAAAGACTATTGAATTTGAGGGATGAAGACAAACAAGCTGACAACGAGCACCTCATATGCATAAAAAAAATGAGGATCTGGTTGTAAAAAAAGAGGGGGGAGGTACTTACCGGGTTCAAACATGTGACAAGCATGAGTGACTGCACAAATGAAGCAGGAGATAAAAAAAGATTAATCAATAAAGCTTGTCATTAAAATACAACAAAAAAATGTAAAATGCAAAAGACAAAAGGGCCAAACTTTGGGTTTAAACAGTTCACAAAACTAAAAATCACCTCGTGTAGTAGTTTAGAAATCCTCTCCCTATTGGCCTGAATCCCCCTCACACAGTTCTTTTCAAAAGAAGCAGATGCATCTCCAAGCAATCTCACAGACTGATCATTGATGATTACAACAGAACATCATTAAGGTGTTAATGAGAAACCAATGGACCAAATGCATTTATTCCAATACAGTAACAGGAAAAGGCAACAATGGTGCATCAGGTTCTATAGCCGGCTAGCACCACAACTTTTACTAATACATTCAAATCGTAAAATAATACTCAATCTGTAGTAGAATAATACATGTTGGCACGCATTTGTGGCTTCACTACTAATAGCTTCCTTTAGATTAGTAGTTAGTTCTGTTGTTTATAAGCAAAGAGGGTAAAATAAAATGTAAAACTTTTTTCTTTATCTGACTACCATAAGTTTATTATTACAACCAGACTATAAGCAAGATGATGATGACAATAATGATACTCGCTGTTAGTGGCCACATCCCAAGAGTGTAGATTGAGATGTAAAAGTTCTTTCCCATTTTTTAGTGTATTTTGAAACCTTTTCCCAAAAAAAACTTGGCCAACTTCCACTTTTAGTCCATCTGCAATCTCAAAAAACTTGGCTATGGTTCATTTTGTTTTTCTATCTTCTAAATAAATCTCCCTCTGTCCCTAAAAAGTATTTCAGGTTTGCTTTTCATGATGTTTAAGAAAAACTAGTTTATGCAAAGGAGAGAGATATATTGTGAACCACTCACTTCTTTTCCTAAAAAGAATGAGAACTTTTTGGGATAGCAGAAAAAGGAAAACATGTTCTTTTAGAGACAAGGGAGTATGTTCCACCAAGCACAAAGGCAAGTTCAACACACCACATAAATAGCAATGACAAGAGAATTTGATAGATCGATATACCTGTAGGAGAGAATTGGCGATCATAGGCTTGAACACATTCAGCTCAAAATGGCCATTAGATCCACCCACTGAGAGGCCTACATGATTTCCAATAACCTGCGAGAAAAAAGGTTGAAGAAAATCAAATAGATATTTAAGAAACAAAAATAAAATAATTAAAAATGTTTGCCCTGATGACATGCATGATGCATATTACATACTGCCTCCGTCCCGAAATAAGAGTCCACAATTGACTAGACATTGGTTATTGATGAAGGTGAAAGTGTGTGCTCGATTTTTGTGCAAAAAGGAGAGAAATTGTGTTAACCACACAATTCTTTCATAGTTTCATCAAAAGGAAAGAACATTTTTCTGGGGCAAACAAAACGGGAAACTTGGAATCTTTTTATGAGAGTGAGGGAGTATTCATTAACAGGTCTACAACCTTAACAATAAAGCCATGATACTTGAATTCATAGCCAATCTAAACCAGTAGATAAAGCAATTAGTTACCTGAGCACAAACCATTGTGAGAGCCTCGCACTGTGTAGGATTCACCTTCCCCTGCTCATGTAAGAATAAGATAATAGTTGAGATGCTGGAGAATGAATAAAAACTCAACTTATGCAATTTCATTTCTTGTAATTAAGTATGACTATTACGGGCATGATACTGCTTCCGGGTTCATTCTCGGGAAGAATGAGTTCACCTAGACCACAGCGTGGACCACTGCAAAATGAGTAGGATGTGAAATCATCATTAAATGCAAATAAATTGCAACCTCAAAAAAAGATTTATACCTTCCTAGAAAACGTATATCATTTGCAATCTTCATGAGGGAAGCAGCAATTGTATTCAATGCTCCACTGCTTTCAACAAATGCATCATGTGCAGCCTGTCAGTGGCAGAAGAAATCAAGTGCATTTTATTATTAAAAAAGGCTTGACAAGTTAGCATTTCATACACAAGAACATATAAAGATTTAAGGTCATTGCCAATGCTTCAAACTTGTTTTCAGCTGTAACAAATGGTAAATTGGTTTCTTCAGCCACCGCTGCAGCAATTTTAACATCAAACCTAATAAAGACATAAAAACAATGTAATTAACATTGCCAGAAATAAACAGGTGTATCAACAATCAAAACCCAAATTGTAAGTTTGGTCATGACTTTAACCACGAAAAAAGAATTAATACTACATAATACGGGGTAAATATTGTTACATAAATCAACTTATAGATGTATGATGCAATTACGTGGAGAGAGCATGAAATTTAGATACAGTGCAGGTAATACTCTGCCACTCAAGTTAACACCACAAGATGCCCCCTAGTGACCGCGTTTAAGAAGACTACTCCCACAAAAAGTGCAACGCACACTTCCTTAGAGTAAGGACACATGTTACTTCAACCTATATTTTTTTTAGACATGGGGTACTTAATCCAACCAAATTCAGATGCATATACCATGCTTAACCATGCATCCACGTGGTATTCGATTCCGAGTAAATCTAAGCTTAAAATTTTAAGAACCAGCATAGATGAAGAAATGGTGTATAAGTTACTTATTCACAGTAGCACTTTGAGACAAACTAAGTCTGAAAAAATCTGTGCCAAGTATGAAAGAGACAATACATATGGAAAATATTGACCAACTTCAAGCTTAAGAAAGCTGCACTTACCCCTTTTTTGTGTTCAATCCAGTTCCAACTGCAGTACCTCCTTGTGCAAGCTGCTCGAATGATATTTCAAACACTTGAAATCATATGGAGCTATAATGCATGGGAGTAAGATGGAGCAAAAAAACGGTAGGAGAGAAGATATGACGAGAACCTGATACATCCGTGGAAGGGTGCCAGAAACTCTGCTGATTCCATTCTTCACCTATCATCATAGAACAATTTTCAAGTAAAATCAGATACAAATTCTTCAAAGCCCTTGCCTTGTGACTTTTGCATTTGAGAAACTGAGAAAGTTGAAAGCATACTTGAGTGGCATATCCACTAAACTCTTGGCCAAGTGTAAGAGGTGTTGCATCTTGAGTATGGGTACGCCCAATTTTGATAATGTCATTGAACTCAACAGACTAGTTGAGCAATCCAGGAAAGAAGGGTTAGAAAGTTTACCACAAGCCAAATAATTTAAAAGGAAAAACACCGGTAGCTCACCTTTGAATGTAGTGAAGTATGTAATTGTTTGAGGTTTGGCAATAATCTCTTATTAATCTCCACTGCTGCTGCGATATGCATCACCTGAATGCCAATCACATCGAAGCTAGTCACAACTCATGATAACCTCAGCAGAAAATTACAACTATACACTGATCACTAGATGGTGCTTACAGTAGGAAATGTGTCGTTTGAGGATTGTGATCTGTTCACATGGTCATTTGGGTGTACAGCTTTTTCACCTCGTTTACGACCAAGAATTTCACCTGCTCTGTTAGCTATAACCTGGACAAATCAGATACAATCAATCTATTTAGGGGGGTCCGAAAGTTCTGTCACATGCACAAATGTCTCATTATTTGGGGGGGGGGGTACATAGC